GGGAGGGGGGAAGGGGAGGACAAGGGGGGAAGGTAATAGTTCTTGTTATCCATACTCGAAAACGGGAAAACACCAATCGTCAAGTCAAACGCAGAGAACGTTTAGAAAACTTGAAAAAGATGACTCAAACTTAGGTCATTTACTGGTATCTACAAATTAAATCACACTTTTAAAGGCTTGGGAGATGAATGAGAAAAACGTGGATTGATAGAGAGGAAAATAAATGAGCAGTTAGTATTTGCTCCATTATAAATACCTTTGGGTTTTCTTCCCGGCGATTCTGAATGTCATCTAACATCAATTTATCAAAGGCTGCAAGAAACGCCTTGTCTTCAACAGTTTGTTCCTGCTTCGGAGGACTCAGGACTTTCACCTGAAAGAGAATTCAGTGAATGAAGTAAGGCTCCTAACTCAGGAGTAACAAAGTACGATGATCACAAAATTAAAAGAAAATAAAAAAATATACCAGATGGTAAAGGCAAGGAACACGAGACAACAACCTCTTTTAGATTAAACTAGGAGAAACTTACGGCTCATCTGTTTCACTCATGAAGAAAGACAGTAAGGCAAACACTAGCCTAACCTGGCTGGTTGAACATCTATTCGATCATAAACAGTTGTCACATCTAAGTTCTTTGCGTTTGTCTATTAATAATCTAGGATTTGAAGCATCAACGGGAAAACACCTTGTTCATATCCACATCATTTATATCCACTTCAGTAATTTCTTTATCATTTTCCACCCCTGGGGTTCCACGTCCCTCATCTTCTTCTTCGTCTTCACCTTCACTCTCTCCAGTCTCACTGTGTTCATCTTCTTCGCGCAGCATGGGGGACTGGCAAGGAGAGTTACTGAGTGAGGTAGCTGGAGATCCTGTGACAACTTTGCTGTAAGGCATGCCGCAAATGGGAAAGGGAGTTGAGTCGTGTTCAGGGATATGTGTGTCTTGTTCAATGGGGGTGGCTTTCTCTACGGATAATTGAAACAGCAGCTTGAATCAGCCATATTAAACATTGATTCCATGGCCTGCACCACAGGTTATGATAAACGTGTTGAAAGGTCAAGCACATAAAACAAAAATCATAAAGCTCGAAAATTCTAGTTTTTAATTGCAATAAAGTGTGGAAGGTCTATGGCTTCCCCCGTCTCGCCAAAAATTGCTCGACTGGCAGGAAAATACGAGCCTCGCCGAACCCCGATATGACTGGGAAATAAAAACTTAAAGGCCTTCACGTTGAACTCTTAACTAACACCATTAAATAAGTCTCAAATACCTACGGGCTATAAGGGCATTTGCTCAGTTGATTGAGCATCAAATTGATATCGCGGAAAACCTGTGGGTATTGGTGCGTGAGTTGTATCTAGAGGTTTCTATCACTTGCCTGCTGGGGTGCCAAGTACTATCCAATCATGTACTAATACAAAAGTCTATCCTTTTCCCGTCTACTCTTCTCATTTCAAAGTTGACCCAACTTGAAGTTAAAAGATCTTTCTTTCAGCTCGGACGGGCCGACAAATGAAGTGGACGGAAAATATATAGATCACATTTGGTTAATTGGGTTAGTGGCCCTTCACCTGTTTATCATATCACATCAAGCGAACTCAAAACGTTTGATGTGTGAAGCAATTTTCAGCTGAGTGTCAAAAATGGAAAAAAGTCCTACATCGCACTGGTTTTGCTTCACTTTGCCTCGTGATTGGTATACATAACTCGCACTAGCAACTCAAACAATCAGATGCAAAACTTAAACCAACTGGGACTTTGTTATGCGCGTTCCTCTCCACTTGGGTCGTTTATTGGCTCCTTAGGATGTTGTCGCCTTAAAACCGATGTAAATCCTAAACAGGAGACAATTTGGTTTAAACAACCACACTACACTAACCTATCTGTTCTTGATGCTCCTTGTTTAACTTGTCAAGACTTTCAACAGCTTGCTCCAGGCTTGCAAAGGTGGTGAGTTTAGGGCGGAGGGACTCAAGAGTGTCAGCAATCATGTAATCAACATCTCGAGGAAATGGGTGTCCTTCATTCCATATGGGATCAGCTCTCTTCTTTAGAATGTAGCACTACCAAAACAATCGTAACACTTTTAATATACTTTGTAACCACACAAGGCGACCTAATAGCCATGCAACGCTTTTAACAAAAATTTCTTTTCGATCAAATAAATTCGAAACTTTGTACAAAGCGACCACAGAAACTGACATTATAGAAATTCTAATATGGCAAAGTCAACACATCACTGGCCTACGATTGAAAAAACAAAGACTAGACTATTGCTGGAGCATGGAACTATCCTCTTACTTGAAAGTAAACAAGAAAACAGTCAAGTTTCTTCTTATAACTTCCGTGATCAAAATACTGTCCACAGGTGTCCAGTAAAGTACACATGAGACGGATACGGAACAGATGTTCAGGAGGATCCAGCACTGAAACAATACCTGTTGTCAAGGGATAAAACCGGATAGGCATATTGTACGCAAACCAAGATAATAAGCCATTAACGGAAACTAAACATACGGGAAAGAGAAAGTAGGAAAATAACAAAACTCTTACGCTTTGTGATAAAGCGTGATACCAAGCCGGGCGTTTTCAATATTGCTCCCTTGAAAATTCATTTCTGGAAGTCTCAAACAGCTGTTATAATTTCGGGCGTACTAAATTTGGTGACGATATTGATTAGAATGAGAAAAAGGGGTGCGTGAAAATTTGAGAGAAAAGCTTTTGGAACAACTTTAGAATAAAGACAACATGCGATTTTACGAAATAGCTTTTACACCATATTTCTTCATTGCATCAGGGCTATTAAACTAGTATTGTTTAGACATTTATTTGAAGTATTACTCTTCACTAACCTTCCTGGTTGTTGCCAAAGGTGATAAAGGAATAAAGGGTGCTGAATATGACACGTGACTCCACTAATCTGTAGTTATAAAGCTCACCCAAAAACTTCACACAGCTCACACGACGCTGGTTCATCTTCTGCAAGTTTGTCTAAACGGAAATTATGTGCACAACGTGTAAAATAAACGAGTATACATATATTGTAAGTAGGGAATAAACAGGGACTGACACATACAGCTGCCACAGCTTATACAACCGAGTTTGTACAGCACTACGCGACTATAAGAGTATAGCTGCTCCTCCATGAGATCCATCACAGTTTATCAGAGCCCCCAACCCCAGCCCCCCAACATTCCGTCAGATTTACATTACAGCTTTTTTTTTCCACAAGCATTTACATTCCAACATGGAGAGAGAGGCACTATGAAAGTAAAAGATCCTGCTGTTAACGCTAATGAATTCTCCAATCTCCGATGCATAAGGAACTCACTAAAATCATGAGGCTATTAAGTGTCCCGAAAAAACAGATATAATTGCGAATAAATTACGTCTCTCAAACCATAATTTAATTTAATTTAATGTAATTTATTAGATTCGCCGACAGGCAGGGACACCGCAACAGCTTGCGCCAATTACTGCGGGCCCAGTAAACCCACCCATCCCACCTTAGGGGAGGACATCCATCACACAGTAATCTCGTGCGTGGGAAATTAACGTCTCCTACTCCTAACCCTGCAGGAGACGGGGCCTACGGTTTATTCGTCCTTATCCGAGAAGACTAGAGTATCCATCCATTTCTTGATGTTTTAGAAAGGTAGCAAATTCTCCTCAGTTATTTTAAGACCCTGAGTCTTGGTCCGGCCGGGGCTTGAACCCTCGACCTCCCGCACAACAGTCCGGCGCTCTACCAATTGAGCTAACCAGGAGGCTACGTACCGTACTTAGCTATTCAATTTAAAGCTGATTTAGAAGACAAGCGCATTTGGAAAATTCTACGGTCAGAGCTTAGAGAAACACGAAGACAATAGTATGGATGCTGTGCCAATTACCTGTCTGTTCTACGGAAACGAAACAAAACGAGTGCGCTTTTGAGGGTGCGATTTCCTTGTTTATTGTGAAATTTTAAAAAACACCCTGCTTCTTCAACCGCAACAATAGAGCCATCTCATTTTAAGACATTTAGACTGACTTCCTACCTCCATTCCAAGACGAATCTCTTCCAAAACTCCATCAACTACATACAGGCCGACGTCCTCCTAAAATCGTGATAAAATTATTTCAAATGAGATAGAGATCAGTCATGTTCGAAATCATCACCAGAAAAGAGGGGCAGTTCAGAGAGTAGAAGAGATTAGAGGAGACGAGATGAACAAAAGACAGGAGAGAAAAGCAGAGAGGAGCAAAGAAAAGCAAGGGAGATAGGGAGAGGTCTGAGTCAAGGGGATAGCAAAGGAAAGAACAACTCTGGTTGCCACGAAAACACTGATTTTATTTCAGCTGGCAATAAAAATTACAAAGTAGCGAAATGAAAACAAAAGAGGAAAGGAAGAAAAATCCCGCTGCTGAAACTTCTAGAAATACAGATAACAGTCACAAAATTATTTCGTTGTTGGCTTTGGTTGTATTTCTCATACAAAAATGATCATAACATCAATGATTACTTACATTGTACTGTGCTAAGCCTGCTAACAGATTGGCAGCGCAGTGCACACTGTTGTACTTGATATTCCACACACGAATCAGACATTTTATTACATACAGAGCGACCTGAAAAGTCATCAAAACAAATACAATTAGCATGGAATGAAAAGGCCCTATTAGAAGAAATAACTTCAATATTCGTTATGATCCATCCTACTAAATTTCTTCTCTATAAACTTTACATTGGCCGGCCCCTCGCGATCTATCACAGTTGGCCCAGTTTACTTAATATTTTGTTCATCATTTAAATTTTTCTCGTAATGTTCTTATAACGTCCCAACAACCAAATTCACACAAGTACCTGTGGCTCATTCCAGGGTAGTTTTCGTATTTGTCGTAGTACCTGCCACAAATCAAAATTAGAGTAATCATGAGTGATTATAGTCATCAAGCAACTAGGTATTTTTATATCATATTTCTCAGTTGAATCAGGGTATAGTCACCAGGCCTACAGCCAAGTATTGCTGATGTCACAACTTATTTCGAAGGCTCAAACCTTCTAACCCTTCTGGGAGTTGAGAGCGAACTTTTGATCCTGCAAAAGGAGGCCAAAGCTTGCCTCTGTGGAACTATATAAAGTTCTTTAAAGTAAAATCAACCTAAAGAGCTGTTTCAGCAAATCGATTTGTGCGATTGTCCGCACGAGAGAGGTCTTGAAAAATACTATTTTTAGTGGCGGCTTCGACAACTTGAGTAGGGGTACACTGTAATCACAGAAGTACAATTTAATCACCAAATTCAAATGAACTGTCAGTCAAGGTCTAGTTCACGAAAGCTGACTGGTGCCTATTTTCAAAGATAATAATGTTCCTTGTTTTAAAACTGTAGAAGGATTTGTCGGTTGTGACTGGCCAGTTTATGACATTATGCAAAAAAAATGACAAAGAACTCTTTAATTGACTCTGATATAGACTGCCATTCACTATCAGTCATCAGGCATTGTCACCAACAACAGTCCTTTAATCAAATCTTTTCTGCATGTCTGCGGTTAGAAGTTTTTCCCGGTCAGTTTTGATTGATAGCCCTCCGTGCCACACAACGTACTCTATACAACTAACTTCTCTGAAGAAAATTTCTCTTAATTTCATAACCAAGCTCAAAATTTACCACCTTTATCATGCTGTATACCTTCTCTGTTGTGGTTTTGGAGAGGTCTTTGTAGAGCAATTTACGGATGTACTCCTGCATTGGAGGACGCTCTTTCTGAGCAACCTGTAGACAATGAAACGTATTTGATCATTATCATCAATGCCAGTCGCTCATTGAACAGAAGCTTATAACCCTGAAGCATGTCTGAGAGCTGGGGTTGATTGGAACGTCACACTAGCCAATCAAAATTTACTTCCAAATGTGGGGTTGTTTATCTTTAATTATTACTAAGTGTGTAATAAGTGAAACTCTACCGCGGTACTAATAGGGAATACGATACGAAATTGCAGTTTTCAGACCGCAAACTCGACTATAGTTTACCGACCAAATTTATATTTATTGTTATTCCTCAACACTTGAAATATTTTTAAATTGAAACAACGGGTCTGAACAGAGCTCAACACTTAACTGGCAGTCAAGTTAAGAGAAACCCAGTTAGTCTAAGTAAAGACGCAATAAACATTCAACCTGGTTAACGAACGAGGACGCAAACGAAAACATGGCTTGAATCTCTAACTACACATTTGCGCAAAAATTGCACCCTTGCTGTGGTTGGCTGCCCAACAAGCCTTTAGTTAGCTTGTTTTTAGACAGTATTAAGGAATTTAGACGCTTCTTGGTCATAAGCTTCTGATTGATACTATCCATGCAATATGTTGTGGTTAGCAGGGTGACATAACATCAGCTGAAATCATACGAAATATTCTTCCCTTGAATATTTTGTAGAACAAAGTACAGTTCTAAATTCATCACAGGCAATAATGAATGTAGTATTAATTATTAATAGAAAAAGCCCAATACCCTCATTAGAGGGGTCTTCGGAAAACAAATATGGTTACACGAGAAAATGAAGCTTATTATAGCACATTTTAACTATGAAACTAACTTCACAACAGATATGAAAAAATTCCTAGGCATTAAGATTGTGAGGATGAGAACTTTTTGTTAAAAGAATAACCTTTTGCCTTTCTGGAGGGTTACAGTAGAAGAATGCATTCTCAATCAAAGTCAACTGACGACTGTCCAGATTCTGGACAGCTTTCTTTCTCATCATCAGCTCCTGGTGTATAGGAGGGAGACAACAAGTTATGTATGGTCAAGGTAACTACATATAACTTTAAATAATCATGGCCTCATGTAAAGTCATATTCATTCAATGGTGCAAACACAGGGCAGTGTATAAAGCTCATAAATAACAGCCAGCTTATTAGTTATTCATTGAACATGCTCCTGAAATAATGAGCCTTTCTGGCCTCATCAACATTTGGCAATATAAATTAATTTCATCAGCTAATCAAGGATAAGAAGGCTCATTCATTTCCTCACAAAAATGATAAATATTACATGAATGTAAAGAACAAAGAAAAATTGATATTAAAATCCTATAAAATCCTGCAAGACTGAACTCACCAACAAGTTTTTTGTCCTGATATGTGAGTCTGGTGAGCGGTACAGAAATCTGCCACACACCTCCAATAAGTTACAGGCCATCTCAATGTTGTGGTGAGTAAAATCTTCCAAAAGCATCTGAAATACAATATCAAAGAGTTCATTGACTAGGACAGAGAAATTTTTATGACTGCGAAGAGACCAAAATTAAACTAATTTTGTAGAGAAAACTCTCCCAATCAAACTGTTGATTGATGGAAGGCGATCAAAATGCACCGTCATAATGAATTAACTGACAAGGCCCTTTATTGTGTAAGTTGTTACTCAAAGCAAAATTCATTGTCCAAAACTTTGCTTACAATGAAAACCTGAATAAAAACTATTTCAAACATCAAACTTTTTTCCTTTTAAGTATAAGAAGTTTCAAGAGGCTGATTTCTAAACTACAAAATGCAGTCCTCATAAACAATCATGACTCTTATGGAGCTTTTGGGAGAAGAAAACTATTTCAGATCTGTAAATGGCAAGATCAAATTCTCAGGAAACATTTTCCTCTTTGTTATGTAATTTCTACAACTCCAAATAGAAATGACCATCTGTTGAAAATCCAAAGATGAGTAGACCTGAAGCTGCCTTGACTCAGTGGCAAAGGAAAATAGAAACTCATAAATTATCCGATACAGAGTTTTCATATAACCATCTAGCTGGCTCATGTGCCCTTAAATTTTAGGGGAGGATGGAAGCTAAGAAAACAGTGGAATACAAATGAGATGAACAAAATTTCAACTCACCTTCAAACAATGTAGAGCTTCTCCTTTTGGGAACATGTGGAACTTAGTTAATTCCCCTACAAGAATGAAAAAAAGTGCATTTAATAAAAATTAATCATACTATAATACTGATATACTTGTTAACATCTTAACAAATATCCCATTTTAGAAGGGTTGCTCCAGAAGGGGCAGGACTGTGTTAACAAAAAAAGTTCTTACCTATGAATCTCACAGTCTTTATTTTCGACTCAACATTAATCTGATCTTTCTTACGCACCTATAAAACAACAATGATTAAGTTTGTGCTTGTACATGGAGGCCCAGGGGTATGTGAACTAATACAAGGAATAAATCACTCAACTAAGAAAAATTATCAGCATTCATGATATTTACAAGACTCACAAAGCTGCAGTGAGTTACATTGTCATTTGTTTTTACTTATTTTGTCATCAACTTGCTTACACGAAATCTGAATTCTCCTTTCAACTGCTGCATAAGTTCAGGTGCAAGATCAGGTGCACAAGGATCAAGAGTGGCCACCAGGCGAGCATACATTGGCAACAGATCCAACCTTACAAGGAAAAAGACATTCAAATACTTGTAACACTAGTTTTAATATTTAAAAAGAAGACAAAACTCAAGCATTTACTCTGTTTAATTTTTAGGGATAGCATACTAAAAAGTTAACACAAAAGAGGATACAAATTGGTTCTTATTCTGTGGAGTTTGTGCACTCTAGGACAAACCTTGAACATTTCTCCATTACTTTGCAATTTTTTCAGTTAAATTATAATCATTACCGTATCCTTGGAACACCAAAAAGTGCATGGCAAAGTCTTTTCCTGTTTCCCTTTGTGTTGCATGTTTGCATAAACTCTGTTGCCACCTAAAATAAAGTAAGACATCATTTTTATACAAAGAGCATTTATTTCTCCTCACATATCAGGTTGTTCCAGACCTATATTGTTAATCCAAAGTTTTGAGTTTGGGCACATGCAGTTCACAGCAAATTCATCCCAGCCTATGTATTTTACTGATATTATGACACGAGTTCTTGATAGTGGACTACTCTAACTTGAGGATTACCAGGGCATAATTTTGTCAAGAATGTAGATTACAGACTATTAACATTTTGGATGAAACATTCACTGGCAGGGTAACAACCTATCCTATGTGCTTGCACGGTGTGATGATGACTTAACATTAGTGGAAAACATCAACTGCGCATCATATTGTTATGTACCTCATCAATAAGGTCCTTGTTGACACATGTGGGCAGTCTTTGTATGACTGCCTCCAGGGCGTGTCCAGTGGATGAGCATAATGTTTCTCCAGATGAAGTGTCATCTTCATCTGAAATTAACAAAAAATTGCTTGAATTCAAACAAGTTCTATCCTCCTATGAGAAATATATGCCTGCACAAGAGAAAAAGATAGCAAAGCATTAACTTCTGAAAGTTAAGAAACTAAATTACTACAATTACGTTTTTAAGAGGACCAATCAGTTCACAAGAGACAAGATTTTATTACCAGGAGTTGTTTATTTCCAATGTAAAAGTGTACCCTAACTACTGAACCATATCATCACTTAAAGTTCCCTGGATGTTTTATCTTTCCTACAATACTATCAGACATTAATAGTGTCAAGAAGTCTAGGGAGCATGTACACTGGAGATAGAGTAAGTTACAGACTAACCACCTAATATAAATGTTGTAAATAATTTAGATAACCACTACCCGAACTTTTGTCATCACATGACACCAGTCCGATAGATATAATTATGAATGTATGTGGAAATATACTTAATGAATAAATCTAATTCAAAGTTAAATGTATATGTAAGTATGTTCATACCATACAAACCATACCTTCTTCAATTTCTCTTTCACTAAATTCCTCATCACCAATGTCATCACCTAGCTCTTCAAACTCCTCAACTTTCACTACAAAATTATGAAATTGGATGTTCAGTTTTATGAAAACGACAAAAGGAAAGGTGGTAAATTAAGAGCTCGAGGAAGAGTACATTTTTGTGTGAAAATATCTAAACAATTAATAACCAGACTGTAATAATTATTCAAACTGCCACACTTATTGCGAATGTTCATAACATCAAAAGTAAAATTTACTTTCCAGCTCTTGCATGTCTATTTTTTCATCTGCAACTGAATTGGTTCCATCATCATCTTCTCCATCTTTCCCATCATCTTTGTACAAGATCTGACAATAAGAAATAAATGTCCAGGTGTTGATTAAATTGTTAGTTTTCATTCCCTTCAGGGTATCCTGTTATAATCATGGTAGCTTTAAAATGCATCTTTTTTTCCAATGGTCCATGGCCTGCATTAGTATGACCTGAGCTTGAAATTTAACTTACAAGCAAATTGTAGGCTAAGAGCTCTTAGAGTATTACGTTCTTCTTAGTAAGCAAAATTACTTTTTTCCATGACAAAAAAACTACAGTTTTCTATGACTGAACTAGTCAGTAGTTTGAAATACTTTAAGTTAGTACAATCAGAGAATCAGTTCTTTCATGTACCTTTGGTAAGAAAGCCTTGAGGTCTCTAAGATTTTCATAAAATATCCTTGTTTCTTCATCTTCCCACAGGCCTGCACTTCCATCATACTGTTTAAAAGGTCAATATCAAATTATGTTTTAGGAAAAGGTTTATACTGATCTACATTAAAAACTCCAGGCACAACAAACAAGTGAAATCAACAGTATCTTGTACCAAACTATTTAGACACTGGAAGCAAGATTAAAGTGCATTTGGATCCCAAAAGTGTCCCAGAATAAAATTCTACATAATTTTCCCTGCATTTTACATGGAGTGCTAAGTATCAGTAACTTGACACTAGTGTAACAGTTAACTGCTAGAGAACCAATTTTTTACATATATCTTATTAACCAAGCGCGAGGGCTGTACTGGGAGAATATCAGCCTGAGGTCATGACAGTACGGACTGAGCACAGCTCGGTCCGTACAAAAAAGACCAAGGGCCGATATTCTTCCAGTACGGTTCAGAGCAAGCTTGGTTAATAAGAGATTTTTTTTATTATACAACTGAAGTTCAAAGGGACGCAAGTGCCTTTCAAAGGGATGCAAAAGATTATGTAAAGGCGCCAACATGGCTGCCATGTTTTCTGGAGCTCTTTGCCTATTTACCATTTTTGGTGTTCTTTTCGTTTTGAATGCTGCCCAAGAATCCTACAATTGTCACTATGGGGGGGCTGAAAGTCCTTGGCTTTTCAAACATATTTTATCCAAGTTCACTACTCCTAAATTTAGAGTTCGCCGGCCGGTGGTGTTGTGGGGCGTCCATGGTCTAACCTTGCTTGCAGTACCGGAGAAATATATCACGCTAGATATCACTATAGATATGGACGTCGAGTCACAACCGGGTCCAGAGACAGACAGGAGTTTCGGAGGAGTTAATAAGAACTACCCGATGTTAATGCGAACTAAGCCAGCGTCTTTGAAATGCTCTGAACTCTTGTCTCTCCGAAACAAAGCTTTCAAGCCATCTCCGGCCGTTCTATCTCAGTTCAAGTCACTCGGCATTCTGAAGTACCGTAGGCAACATAGTGCTCGAATTTCACGATCCACCTCAACCAAGAAAATCCCGGTGATGCAAGGCCCGAGCGGATCTGTTCGGTCAAGCATATCCCATACATATGCTTATTAAGACAGACCATGAAGGCTTTGTTTTACCGGCGGGATTAAAACTTAAACCTGTGCGCCGCAAAGTTCTTGTGCGGGACTGTAGGGAACATCGGAAACAGTCATTTTATATGGCACTCACTACGCTGGACTGGAGTGACGTCCTCAATGAGGTGGACATAAACAAGGCGGTCGAGGTGCTTGAGGTAAAGATTCGTGCAGTGATGAATAAGTTTATGCCGCAAAAATCTGTACGCATGTCATCGCGTGACCCAGTTTGGATGTCCCCATTAGTCAAGTGTATGCTGAGGACTAAGTCCCATACATCTTTAAACAACAAGGAACATCTGTCTTTATTTAATAAGCGCATTTCTGAGCTGATAACCGAGAACAGAAGAAAACTGGCTGCCATTGGTAGCGGTGAGTGGTGGAAGGGCGTGGACGCCCTATCGCAGCGTCGCAGGTCATCATTGATAAATTTGGACAAGAACTCTCTAGTTCGTCTGAACGACTACTTTGCCAACCTGTGCTATGATGACACTTACGTTAGACCTAGTGATATGGATATCCCGGACAGTGTAAAGCCCCCAAAAATATCTGAGCGGTGTGTCTGGAATACCTTAGTTCATGTAAAGAAAATGGCAATGGGACCAGACGACCTCCCGTACTGGATCTGGAAAGACTGTGCTGAGCTACTCACACCAATCGTCACTCACATTTGGAATCTGTCACTGTCTACATGGCCAGACTCCTGGAAGAGGGCAAATGTTAATCCTCTCCCCAAAGTGAACATGCCTATAGAGGACTCAGACTACCGTGGTATTAATGTTACTCCCGTTATTGCCCGGTTGTTCGAGAAGGTCGTGTATCATACACAAGCACAGTCGGTCATTGAGAACAACCTGAGCCACACCCAATTTGCATATAGACAGGCGGGTAGTTGCACAAATGCTTTGCTCGCTATCCAGCACCAGACATACAAGTATTTAGATAGTAGTGACTGTAGCGCAGTGCGAATTATTAACATGGACTTCAGTAAGGCTTTCGAATTTGTGAACCATGCTATTTTTGTCTGCCAAACTGAAACAGCTACCTTTAAATCGGTACATTATCAATTGGTATCATAGTTTCCTCTATGTAAGACAACAACGTGTTGTTAGTTATGATTTTTTAGGACAGTGGAAATCTGTCAATAGACGAGCCACACAAGATAGTGTGAGCGGACCGTATCTTTTTAATATATTTTTAATGATTTGGAGATTTCTTTTAATGGTTGCCCTGTGCTTTTTAAATATGCCGATGATTCCACTATTCTTTCGCCAGGAATAGTGACCCGGTCACTAGGAATAGTGACCCGTCTGCCGACTTAGTAGGACAGTTCTTAACATGGTGTAAAGACAATAGAATGGTCTGCAACCCTTGCAAATGTAAAGAGCTGGTTGTTAGAAAGAAAAATCATAATGTACTCTACTCTCCAATTAATAATATTCCCCAATGTAATAGCTTCGTTTTACTAGGAGTAACTTTACAGAGTGACGGAAAATTTGATGAGCATGTAAGAACTAAGCTTGTCAAAGCAAACAAGTGTTTACACGTCCTACGAACATTGAGAAAGGAACATTACTCTCAGGCAGAGATTGATCATCTTTTTATATCCATTGTTTTGGCTAATTTTAGCTATGCACTTTCAGTCTATGGGGCATCTGAGTCCGATCTTACGGTTGTACAAAATTTTTTAGACCGATGTCATAAACGCGGTTTTATCTCATTTCCAGTTTTTATCAAGAACCTTTTAAACAAACAAGACCGAAACATTTTGAAGAAACTAAAATCAACGGATTGCCACCCCCTGAAAGACATCATTCCTGTCCAAAAGACATATGTACACAATCTTAGGAAAAAAGGCTGCGCGCGCCCGAAAATTAATACACAGCGCTTTATGAACACCTTTGTAAATAGGTTGATATTTAAGCTCCATTTATTGTAATGACATACTTTTTAATTCATAATATGTATGTAGATTTCTGTAGTTTTTCCAAATTCATTGTAACATAAGATATGTAGTTTTATCTTATGATGGAATAAAGACTTTATAA